GCAAAGTAATTGCCACCAAAACTTTTCGTTCTAGAAGGACCAAAGAGATCCATGTGCAAAAGTTGAAGCGGTCTAGACGTTGAAACAACGTTTTTAGACTTAAACGAAGCCCGAACTTGCTTCCCCTTTTGACATGCATCACATATGGTGTCTTTTTCAAACTTAAGTTTTGGGATGCCAATTACTAAGTCTTGTGAAACCAATTTGTTCAAAAGGTTCATGTTCATATGAGCTACCCTTCGGTGCCATAGCCAAGTGTCTTCCTCTTTACTCATGAGGCACTTAGCAAAGCCGGAAGGAGATTTGTCTAAGTTAACCATATAAATATTATCGATTCTATCACCACGTAGAATGACCTTATTGTCACTAAGGCGTTCTACAGTGCATGATTTTGAATCGAAGGTCACACGGTTTCCCTTGTCACACAATTGACTTATGCTCAAGAGATTGTGTTTAAGACCTTTGACTAGAAAGACATTATCTATAGAGGAGTCTTCGGACTTACCTACTGATCCGACGCCGATAATTTTTCCTTTGCTATTATCTCCAAAAACTACGTTTCCTCCTTTAGCGGGTTTGATTTGTAGGAACTTGGGTGCATCTCCGGTCATGTGCTTGGATCATCCGCTATCAAGGTACCAAAGTACACTTGACGGCTTAAAGCACACCTACAAGAATGATTTAATAAGATTTAGGTACCCAAGTCTTTTTGGGTCCTTGAGTGTTAGGTGGAAAGTGGTAGTGTGATTCATTTTGTGCCCAATGCCTATGCCTAGTAAAGCAAACAGGAGCTATGTGTCCTACCCTATTGCAATAATGGCAAACTACGTTTGGGTTGTGCATCCTTCTAGGTTGATAGTAGTTGCTAGGGGGCCTAACCATATTCATCCTGTTTTGAGAAAACCTTGGTTTTTGAAAATTTTCCCTTCTAGGTGTTCTAGAATTGTTTTGTCTATTTGAAAAATTATTTTTATGCACAGAATCATTTTGATAACTTTTCCTAGGTTGTCTAGCATGCACATTTTCATTCCTAGGTTTTTGTCTAGGTTGTCTAGTGTCCTTAGTTTGACTAGATTTTCTATTATCCTGATTTTTAATCTTCTTGCGTTGAGCCTTATTAGATTGTCTAGGTGTGTGCTCAACGTTTTTATCCTTAGATTCATTTTTATCAAAACCTATTCCTTCCTTAGAAAAATGCATAGTGTCAAGAAGTAAGTTAAGATCTTTGTGTGGTGTATTAAACTTCTTAACCGTAATCTCAAGTTTTGCAACCTTTTCTTTTAAAATTTTGCAAGATTCACATTCACTTGAAGAACTTTCCGGTTTGTCAGCGCTTCTTTTACCATAAAATTTATTTTCTTGTTTCAACTTTTCATTATCTTTTTCCAGTTTTTCAAAATCATTTTCAAGGGTTGAAAGACGTTTCTTTAATGATTTGTTGGTTTTAGAAGCGCTACTAAATTCATCATAAAGTTCTCGAAGAGCTTCTTGCATCTCTTCAAAAGTGTAAGAGTCGGAAGAAATGGTACATACCTCTTGAACGTCGTCGGTTTGGTCTTCGTGCGCCATGAGACAGAGGTTGGCAGCTTCTTCCTCTTCTTGATCGGTTGACTCGTCGCCGGAGTCGCCACCCCATGAGATATAAGCACGTTGCTTTTTGAAGCCAGGTTTGTCCTTGCCGCTTTAGCCTTTTGGACACCTCGGCTTGATGTGACCTATCTCGCAACAGCCATAGCACTTCGGGGGACCGTCGTGCTTTCTTCCTTTGCGCTCAAATTCCTTCTTCATAAATTTGTGGAATTTCTTGATGACGAGTCCGAATTCGTTGTCATCATCGCTTGAGTCATCTTCCACGGTCTCCTTGGTTGCTTTCAGTGCTATTCCCTTCTTCTTTTTGTTCATCCAAAGACGGGGTTAGAATAGTAGATTCATAAGTTTTGAGGTTACCTCTTAACCTGTCGATGGTGACATTTGAGACTCCAATGGATTCGTAGATTGCATCTGCCTTTGATCTCCATTCGGGTGTGAGACTTCGCAGGATTTTCCTCACGAGATCCTTGTTGGCGTACGTCTTCTTGAGAGCGTGAAGGTCGTTGATGATTTTTGATAACCGATCGAACATGTCATCGATCTTTTCGCCTTTCTTCATCCTGAACATCTCGTACTCCTGCGTTAGGAAGTCAATTTTGGCTTCCCGAACTTGGTCCGTACCATCATATGTGACCTCCAGCTTGTCCCACATTTCTTTTGCAGTGGTGCAGCAAGAGATCTTGCGATAATCATCAGGATTGACGGCACAGTACAGCATGTTGATTGCCTTGGTGTAGTTCTCCACCTTTTTTATGTCCTCGCCATCAAATTCGTCCTCGGTCTTTGGGACGAGTTTTTCACCGACCTTCTTTGTTGGAATTTCCTCGACATTCGTGATGACCAACCACAACTAAAAGTTGGTTGAGCGGATATAAATTCTCATCCGTTCTTTCCAGTATGTGTAGTTGGTGCCATCAAAAAGCGGTGGCCTAGAGGTTGATTGACCTTCTCCAATTCCTGCATAAAGATTTCTAGAAGAAGAACCCATGATCGCTTTACTCTCAAACGGTTAAGTTTGGACGCGAGTTAGGCTCTGATACCAATTGTTAGAATAATAGACCAACGCTAGAGGGGGGGTGAATAGCGTTTGATCGGAGAAATCGCAGGAATTAAAAAAATTAAAAGAGAAGTAAAAAGAAGAGTAAAAGGCACACCGAATTTTACCCTGGTTCACCACAACTTGTGGCTAATCCACCCTCCCGAGAGACTCTCTCGAGCTACACTTCTATCTCGTTAAGCTTGCGGGTGCTTAACAAACCGTTACAACTTGAGAGTTCGAGTCACACGAACCTCAACGAATCCTTCAAAGGAAATAGACCTTCCTTTGAATCAACCGAGAGAGATACTATCTCTCAACGTGTCTAAGAACACAAGTACACTCAAGAACGAGACTCTCTTATAGAGTAGATTATGAGTAAACTAAGTATGCTCAAGAACTTCCCATCGATGGGTACAAGCTTCCCATCGCTGGGTGGGAGGTTGACTTCCAAACAAGGAAAGAATCAACCTTAAATGACCTACAACGGTCATCCCTTCCCATCGATGGTTTATCCTCACCATCGCTGGGCAAGGTGGTTCTGCCTTGTGTTAATTTTACACCTAGGCTTGAACAGCGATGGGTAGAACTTCCCATTGCTGTTTGGCATGGTTCTGGAAATTGGTTTAGCTAAGGGACCGCTTACCCATCAATGGGAAGATCTTCCCATCGCTGGGTGGGTGGTTAGTCAAGAACCCAAGGTTTTTGCCTTAACCACGGCCTAGCCAACCGATGCAAAAACCAACCGAAAAATCCAAAGTTCTCCAAAATAAAAACCAAGTGTTTAAAACACTCATTTGATGTATTTGGCTAAGAAATCATGTAAGACACTTTAAAAACCACGTCATTTGAGTGAAAAACACGGCTAGCCAAATTTATGTCGTTTTGAAAGATTTTTGTCAAACGACCAAAAGCAAAAGATGGTTTTTAAGGTGTTTTTGTTGGTGAACCGTTTAGACATGCCAAGGAGTGAAAACCAATAATAAAAAGTTGAAAACCACTCGGTTGATTTGGACGCCAAAAACCAATGCCGATAACCGAAAGTCGAACGCCGGTTTCTGAAACCCGAACGCTGGATGGTTTGGTTTTTGGTTTGGGCGAACACCAAGTGTTTTTAATGACTTAAACAAGTTTGAAAAACATTTTTATGATTTAAGAAATGCAATGAAGGATTTTAGCCTAAAGAGCCAAGGTGTAAAGATTGGGTCAGTCCTGATCACAATGAAGACCGACTCAACGACACTAAGACTAAGGTCTTCGTTCTTGGTCTTCTTTTAGATCTTCTTCTCTTCATTCTTCGCCTTGTATGTTCAATGTTTGACTTTATCACGGCGGTTTGGCATTATCAAAACCTGTCATAAAAACAAACACGGCTTTAGTACGAAAACGTGACATGCCCGTGTTTCAACACTTTTAATACCCAAATGTCCTCCAGACTCCAAAGTATGACAGAAGTTTAGGATAGAGGGCACTTCATGATAGTCCACACATCTTCTAATGAGTAAATAAGAACAGAATCTCCACAAAAATGGTTCTTCCCAGTAGTAATACCTTGACTGAGCTTTGAGTTTACATTTCTCAGCTTGTGGCATGCCTACTGGAAATTCTCCAGTGACCAAATAGTTAACCAACTCACTATACCAAGGCAACACTTTCAATGCATATAAAGACTCATTAGTGAATAAACCAGTGAAAGGTGTCTGGTTGTTAGAGTATAAGACTCTGCTAAGATGGTCAGCTACTTGATTCTGCAGACCTGGTCTATCTTTGAACTCAAGTAAGAACTCTTGAATTAGAAGCATCCACCTAATCAGTCTAGGCTTAGATTCCCTCTTAGCCATCAAGTATTTAATGGCAGCATGATCAGTGAAAATAGTGACCTTGACCCCTAAAACATAGGTCCTAAACTTCTCAAGTGCATACACCACAGCATATAGCTCTTTTTCAGTGGTGGTGTAATTGCACTGAGCAGAATCTAAAGTGCTACTAGCATAAGTTATCACAATGGATTCCTGTCCTTTTTTCTGTCCTAACAAAGCTCCTATGGCCCTATCACTGGCATCACACATTATTTCAAAGGGTAAGGTCCAATCAGGGCTTTGGACAATAGGAACAGTGGTGAGCTTAAGTTTAAAGAAATCAAAAGCTTTTTTACAATTCTCATCAAAGTGAAAAGGCACATCTTTACCCAGCAAGGCAGTTAGAGGTAAAGCTATTTTTGAAAAGTCCTTTATGAATCTTCTGTAAAATCCCACATGTCCCAAAAAAGCTCTGGCATCTTTTAAGTTGGTAGGGTAAGGTAAGGCTGAAATGACCTCTACCTTAACCTTATCAACTTCCAAACCCCTTTTAGAAACAACATGTCCCAAAACAACACCTTTATCTACCATAAAATCACACTTTTCAAAATTCAGGACAAGGTTTGACTCAACACATCTTTGTAAAACCATAGCCAAATGCTCTAAACCTTCATCAAAATTGTCTCCATACACAGTAAAATCATCCATGAAAACCTCCATTATTTTTGTCAAATAATCTGAAAAGATGCTGGTCATGCACCTTTGGAATGTTGCAGGGGCATTGCACAGACCAAAAGGCATTCTTTTAAAAGCAAAGGTCCCATAATGACAAACAAAAGTGGTCTTTTCCTGGTCTTCAGGAGAAATAGGGACTTGAATGTATCCTGAATACCGATCCAGGAAACTATAATGGGATCTTCCAGACAATCTCTCTAACATTTGGTCCATAAAAGGTAAAGGAAAATGGTCTTTCTTGGTGGCCTTATTTAATTTCTTATAATCTATGCATACCCTCCACCCTGATTGAACCCTTTTAGTAATCTGTTCCCCTTTCTCATTGGTAACCACTGTGGCTCCTCCTTTCTTAGGAACCACATGAATAGGACTCACCCATTCAGAGTTTGAAATGGGGTAAATTACATCAGCCTGAATCCATTTTAAGAGTTCCTTTTGTACAACCTCTAACATTGGGGGGTTGATTCTTCTTAAAGGGTCAACCTTAGGCTCAGAACCAGGTTCTAAAAGAATCCTGTGACTACAGAAAGCTGGACTGATGCCCTTCAAGTCAGCTAAGGTCCACCCTATGGCTCCACTGAATTGTTTTAACACCCCTAACAGCCTATCTTCTTGTTCCTCAGTCAGTTTACTGGAGATGATCACTGGTAAGGTTTTGTTCAAGCCTAAATAAGCATATTTAAGATCTAAGGGTAGAGGTTTCAAATCCAACTCAGGTGGTTGGACAAGGGAGGGCAACTGTCTGGGTACATTTTTAGGCAGGTCCAGAGTATGAGTTAAAGAAACAGTTTTAACCTCAGATAGCATTTTAACATATTTATGAATCTCTGAATTTACAGTGTATGGAGAGGATTTCAAGGAT